ATTACCCTGTATCATCATAATCCATGCAACAGTATTATTTAAACAAAGATCTGCCTCGTAGGGTAAAACGTAGGGTAATAAGAAACATTCGTAGGGTAATCTAGGGTTTTCTGGACGCTGTCGTGGGGTATTTTCGAAAAATAGGTTGGCAACACTGCTCGTGCGTCCAAAGCACTGGTCAAAGCGAAGCGCTCGTGGCCAGACCATGCTAGGCGAAGTTCAATTTCTTTATTTTGCTGTGTTAGTAAACACCGCGCTGTGTGGACAACAAGCTCGATAAAGCGCCCCCTATAGTTCGATCTCCTGCCCAATAGGTGATGGACTGACAACAAAAAGAAAAGAAACAAAAGAAACCCCGACGTTTTTCCGTGGCGGAATCAAATATACACGCAAAAAAAATGTTAAGCCGTTCACAACTCCCTGTAACGCCGAATTAGAGCGCAGCTCTTGAGGAGGAGGAGGGAAGGGCACTGAGGTTCACGTGTTTTCGGGAGGGGGGGGGGGGGGTCAAGTGACCTCGAGGGGGGGGGTCAAGTGACCTCGAGGGGGGGGTGGTCACGTGACCTTGGTGGGGTCACATGACCCCCTTCCCAAGGTCACGTGGGGGTCACGTGGGGGTCACGTGACCTTGACCTGGGGGGGTCACGAGACCCCCAGAGAAACTTTTCCGCTAGATTAAGCGGGAAATTCTTTTCGCTAGATTTAGCGGGGAAATTTTTCCACTAGATTTAGCGGTGAAATTTTTTCCGCTAGATTTAGCGGGGAAATGTTTCCGCTAGACTTAGCGGGGAAATTTTTCCGCTAGATTTAGCGGGGGAATTTTTCAGCTAAATTTAGCGGGAAAGTTTTCCGCTAGATTTAGCGGGGGAATTTTTCCGCTAAATTTAGCGGGGAAATTTTTCCGCTATTTAGTAGGGAAATTTTTCCGCTACATTTAGCGGGGGAATTTTTCAGCTAAATTTAGTGGGGAAATTTTTCCGCTATATTTAGCGGGGAAATTTACCCATAATGCACCGCGCGGTTACGCCGACGGCGACGGCGACGCCGACGCCGCTCAAGCCGGAAACGGGCGCCTAAGAGCTGCGCTCTAAAAATGAAAGGCGTTTACAACTCCCTGTAACGCCGAATCGGAGCGCACCTCTTGAGGAGGAGGAGGGAAGGGTACTGAGGGGAGGGTATACCCCTCCTTTCTCCTTCTCCCCTCACGGGGGTCACGTGACCTGGGGGGGGTAACGTGATCTTAGGGAGTGGTCGCGTGACCTGGGGGGCCACGTGACCTGGGGGGGTCACGTGACCTTAAAGTTACGCCGACGGCGACGCCGACGCCGCTAAAGCCAGAAACGGGCGCCTAAGAGCTGCGCTCTAAAAAAAAAAGCGCGTTCTTTTTGTGTTTCCTTTTCGTTTTCTTCTATTTGTTATTCTATTGACACTGAAGTCTGGATTGTTGTCGTGGGTCGTTTCCCGTTCTGCGTAGCGCCTCAGTGTGTCAATCTTTACATCCGTAAAGATTTGTGTTTGTCTTTTGTACCTCTTGTTCCCCTTCTCCAGGGATTATTATCGTCACTCCTGTCCAGCTCGCTTGCATCTTTGCATTTAATTACATTATAATCACCTCTTTTGTTTCAGGATTTTTTGGTGGGAAACTGTAGGAATAAAAGGCACCTTTGGGAAGGCAAGGGGGAAAACCTTCATTGTACGAGCTTTGGTGTGAAATATGAGTCACAATTGGCACAAAAGCGATGTTTTCACGAGCTCAATTTAAGTCATCAGAATTTATCGGAGCTAGCAACAGGATTTGCTTGCTCGAAAGAATGTTCAAGTTTGCTCGTACCACGCCCACGCCATTTTATACCGAAAAGCTCGGAAAATGGCGAAATATCAAAAATGTATCTAAGATAATGAGTACAAGATACTCAGCAGAAATGTAATCAAAAAAGAGTATCAAATACTCTTGATCAGAAGCATTAACAAGATACCAAGATACTTGAAAAAGTATTTGAAATACAGTATCTTGAGTAGAGTATTTGAGAAAGGCACAAGTCTGGCTTATTATCGCCCCGCAGACAATGTGATTGCAATATGAGAATCGATCGCTGCCACCTGCAAAAACTTCCGCAGTGTACCAAGCGGTATGAATTCGCTAAATAACCGACAACGTCGGAACAACTTGATATTTAAGGTTATTTCTGAGGAACACGAGGAATCTTGAAGCAAATCAGAACAGATTGTAACGGACTTCATCAAAAATCAACCTTGACATAGAGGTGGGTGAAATCGAGCGGGTAACCGGTTGGCAAGAAAGCGAATGGACTACCCCCGACATATCATTGTTAACTTCTGAAGCTTCAAAATGAAACAGGAAATCCTTGAAAACGCGTTTATAACCTAAACAATTGACAATTCCTTACGTGTTCGAACACCGAATTTGTCACTTATTAAATTCGGTTTGATCGAACAAAGCTTTGGGAATTCAGCAAACTTTACCGACTGGATCAGAAGCGTGTACGCTTAGTTTATAATATTTTTTTTTTTACGACAGGATATTTGTTTACAATGCTGAGTAAGTTTGGGATTATATAAATCCGCCAAAATAAAGGTTTACAACTTATGGCCTCATTGATACAGAAGGCAGCATGTGTACAAACTTAGAAAATTATTTTAACAATTTTTGTAGTAGAATCAATACTAATTAAGGTTGCTGGAATTCTGCCCAGTACGACGGCCAGTGTTCTTTGTTTTCTTTTTAACGCCTTTTTTTCTGCCCATCGCTTTTAATGTGGAGGGCACGAAAATAAACCAACGCCACCGAAGCATATAAGACCACGGCCTTGAACCTTACACCTCGCAGTTACCACAACATTTTCCTCACTGGGTTCGTCCGACATCCGCGTTTCAGGGTATCTACAACACAGCCAGTCAGACAAAACACATATATGCCCGCGTCAGAGCGTACAAACAAAAAAATGATAACACGACGATGGATGCGTAGCAATGTCCGTGATAATAAAATGTTGTGTAATCCGTTAACCTTGGGGCTTGTGATTCAGGCTAGGTGGCGCAAGCTGCCGCCCGTTACAAAGACTATAGCCATTACCATCCATCCATCCCAGTGCCGCACGCACACGTGATTGCGCGTGGACCTAAGAAATTATTTTCTACATTAAAAAAAAAAAAGTAGCGCCGTGACGAGGCATTTTTGGCGCTGCGTGCTTGGCTGCATCGTACCCTAGTGTCCGTTGCGGTGTGACTTGAAGTGCCCCTAGGCGCGCAGTGGCTGATCGTCAGCTGCAGCTACGCTCTCCGTGACAGTTCTGCAGTCGGCAGCTCCGCAACCATCCGTTCGTTTGTCTCGGGAATCTGCCCACCGCTGTAAGGCCTAAGGACCTCTTGGAAGGCACGTTTCTCACGCTGTTGGCAACGCTGCTAAAAGAGCAACTGCCGAATAACTTCGGGGCTTGCCGAAGACACCAGCCTCGTACGGACGTCGCAAGAGCCTTCGCTGGGTACCACTTGAATAGCGTTTCAGTAGTTTCTGGACAACTCCTGGAACGGCACGTCCCCGCGTTGCCGAAGATTTGGTCCAGTTTGTGAACTATACCCCTTGAGATTCTCCGATGGTGGGGTTGGTTCCCAGCTGGTGAATACCTGCGATATCACCCGGGTGATTCAAGAACCAAAAGTGAAAGGTATGAATGTACTACTACCATTTTTCTCTGATTACTCGAAGTGTGCGGCGCAGTTTCGTACTACTATTGAACCTCCTACCAAAACAATTTTGGCCGCTCTTTTTTTTAACATTGTGGATTACGAGAAGCATTTGTTCACTTCGCGAGGGATGTATTGCTTATTATAGAGTAGGTATCAAAATCTGAAAACTATTCTCACGTGCCAATTTATAGAGAATTCAACCCTCGCTTTCTGCCATCTTTGACTCTGTGGAATGTGGTCTTAACTTGTCAGTAGCTCTTTTCGGGGTAAGACCTAACACCGCGCATGCACCCACAGCCCCGTGACTCAGCATTTTTGGCCCGAGCATTAAGCACTGGAAAGATGTAGACGGCCTCGTCTCACTTAGCACACCGTAACATTTACGCTCAAACCAACATTAATCGGAAAAAAAAAAAATTCGAGGCGACCTTTTTCAAGGCCAATTGACGCATGAAATGCACATCGTTTAAATTTGTTTAGAAATCTTGACACAGTCCTTTTGGGGAGCGAAGAAGAATCTATAGTATCAATTTAGCGGGGAAACCGATTAGGTGCATGGTTCACGTGACATTAATTTCCCCGCCAAATTTAACGGGGAAATTCATTTGTGTGCAGGTCCCTAAGGCCAGGTCACGAAGGGGCAATTTCTCCGCCAAATGTAGCGGGAAGCTGAATTGGTATACGGTCACGTGTCACCTGTCACACGACGCTTTTTTTTTTTTTTTCGCTGAATTTCGCATCAAGACTGAATTGATGCATAGAGCTCGTGACAGGTCACGTGACCTCAAGTTTTCCGCTTGATTTAGCGGGAAAATTGGTGTTTAGGTTACGTAACGTAAATTTCTCCGATAAATTTAACGGGAAACCCACGAACAGATGGACAAAATATGGTGAGATTCAGGGGTTAACAAGCATTCCGTGCCCTCCAAAGAATTGATGCTCAGATTGCCATAATTGTTCGTAATTGAATACGAGCGGGCCGCAGCAAATTGCCGAGGGAGCTGCATGCCTCGTCATCCTGGTTCTTTCGAAATCCCATAACGATCCGTTATCTACAAGCAAACCAATGGGCGACAGTTCCGCGTGTGACATCAGTCGTCACGTAGCACGTTTGGCCCTGTCAATCGCCCGTTCGCCCCAGCCTCTCTCCGCAAACGGAGTAAAGTTTCGTTTTTGGTTTGGCGACGTTATACTTTGTACTGGCGTCTCATTTCAGGAAACGGTGCTGCCGTCGGCGGAGGTTCTTTTGAAGAAATAACGAAAACGTTTTGACGCTGCTCGCTACCGGCGTCATGGCAAAGACCAGCACCGCACTCATCGTCGCCCTCTGTGTCGCTGGCGGGTTAGCAAGCGGTAAGCTCTTTCTGCTCGGCGATACGATGTCCTGCTTTACTTCTTTCGATTGATGGAGAGCCTTCGTGAGGTTTTTCGGGGAGTAAAGGCTGGTTCACACAGCCCTGTTTTCTTGTGTTATGTTACGGGAGCTTATGTCTGCTTACTGCGAGAGCCACCGACATTCGAAGCACGAGTGTACCTGTGTAAACACCTTTATTTTGTCGTGTGGCAATTGACCCTCTGACTGGACGAATTTGTGTTTTGTCTTGAGGTTTGGGTGAGGCGTGCGAAAATCTACACAAATTCGAAACAAATGGAGTGAGAAACGCGTAAATGATCAGCGAAGGAATGCTTTAGCTTGAATTCGTCACCAGAGGCAAAGCACGGGATTTGCGCTTGGTCTTTCGAAAAGAGATAATCATGACCATAAAGAATGAAGCAGTACTCATTTATTGCAAATCTGACTATATTACGTGGCTTTCAATTTATTTTGATCGTGTGCGTGCAGAAGGAGTTACTTATCCAGTGTCACTGCGTAGTTCTTGCCGTCTCTCTTTGTTTTCCAGATGTCCTTCGATTGTTTGGCACGTATATCTCCCATGCTGGAAAGCGTCGACGCCGTGTTCGCGCTAATTGTGTCCGACAGTGCACATAAATACACGTACGAAGTGGTTTTAACACCGTTTTTATACCACGAAATTTAAATAAAAATACTGTAACTGACCAATTATTTCGTCTGCGTAACTGAGAAATGTTACAATGTGCCTAGTACGTACAAATTATGAGTGACATTTGCTCTTATAATCGAGCGCAGAGAGAAAATGCACTCGCTTTTTCCCATAGAAATGCATTACCGGAAGTCAATTTCTGACTGCTTGATGTCTGCTTCAAAATGCAACAGCACACTAGCGCCAGCTGAGCCTGTAGCGTTTATTGTAATAACTCTATGAAGATAACAGAATATCACTGCATTTCAAACACCATGGTCTGTTTGAAAATACGCTAATAAATCAATAAAATAAGCACAACCACCACCGCGTTCTGAACTAGTGTTTATAACGTAAATCCTTTCTTCGTTATCTCCGTCTCTTTTGTTCAGCACTTGTGAAGAACCAGGCACATTTCAAGACACACGTGGATGCACTGGTCCCGGATGAAGCTCCGCAGGAGATCTTCCCCGAGCCGCCTTTGGGTAAGAGCAAACCAATTTGTTAGTGGAGCGGGATCCAGCCCGTGTTTCGCGCACGGCAAGTTCTCTCCTGAGGGATGGTGTAGTTTACCTTTTTTTTCTTTCTTAAAAGTACCTGATACTTGGTGAAGAACGTTAAGCAACAAAAGTGGAAAAGTTGAACCGTGGTTTACTCCGCGGCACACAGATACGCCTTGTTTGGAGCCAAGCGCACAACCTGAACACCTCCCCTGTCGGACATAGGCTTTAACACAAAACGTATTTTATGGCTGGGTTGTACTCGGAGAGCTGGAACATAATGAAAAACCTTTACACACAGGCTAAGGCAACATAAAGCTAACATAGCAATGATTGTGCATACCGTAAAATCCCGAGACAGCCCATATCTATAAACGAGAGCAAGTCGGGTTATATACAACAATGTATGTTTTTATAGAACGTTAAGTATGGCAATTTTATTTAGTGAGGTGATATTAATTTCTAGGGATGCAACATAGTTTAGCAGTCCAGGCAATGTATAATTAACTCTGTGGCATCCAAAGTTGGTGCGTGGTTGAGCAATATGCCGTGGACGTGTTTGGCGAGTTTGATGCACTGAGTTTTGCTCCCTGGTGTTTATCAAAACAATCTAAACTTTTTCTCTTTCTTTTTTTTTTCTTTTTTGTAGATTTCGTGAATTTGAAGTACAGTCGCAATGCCGTTTTAATTTGTTAGTTTTTTTTTTTTATTTCACCATTGTACTTGCACAGGTCTGCGCTTAAAATTTCTGCGGATTATTTCATAAACTGCGACAGCGGTGGGTACAGCTGCAACGGGAAAAAAAAAATAGCACAACTCACCTATGACCGGAGCGGAAAAAATCGCGACACGCGGCTCTATGAGAGTTTTAGCAAACCGTTCAGATACCTGATAACGATACTATGCATGCGCAAAGATATCGGCCATCGTTATCGGAGTCATCGGAACGATCTATTCACTCTCAAGGCGGGGGTGGCCGAAAAAAAAAATTCATTCTAAAACCCGCCATTTCCAAACCTACCTTACCCCTTGCTTTTCGGCCGAGCAACGCGCCAACGTGGTTGCTCACGTGAACCCATTTATTTATACTTTTGCGCTGACGTTGTGAGCGGCATTGTTTTCTTTATCGCTGTTTTTCCCTCAACCGACAATAGAGGCCTTTTGGAAGACCACCCAGCTGCGGAATCCTTGCACAATGGCCTACTAAAATCGCAAAGTCACGGCACAATGTATGCGTTCGGTTGGAGTAGAAAGCAAGGACACGCCCACAAAAAAATGTGATCAGCGATGTCACACTGCACTTCCTATGCTGTTAGATTAGCTCGTCGGCCCTAGGATGGGCTGCTTTCTGCCGGCTACCCTCGATTTCAAACATGGAACGTTCGAGGCGCTCTCGCTATCTGTGCGCTCGGGAACAATAGCGCCGTGTGTCGCCATTTTTCCACTCCGGTCCTCGGTCACTTGCGCTCATCTTTTTCCGTTGCAGCTGTACTGTCGTGAGCAAAAGTCTGGATAACACGGGAGCACCGACCGAATTGCATCGCCGCGCTCCCTGACGGCGCGGCGCCTGGTGTCGAGACCCGCGCAATGCGCACGCGCGTCCTTTCTTATCTGCTGGCCCGCTCGTTCGCTCGCTTCAACGCGATGCGCTCCTGAGCGACTAAATGGGCGCTAGGTGCCGCCCCGGGAACCAAGATTCCGAGAGCGTCGCTCACCGCTCGGGACGAGCTCGCGTGCTCCTTGGCACGCGCCGTTCGCGCATATCTTTCCCGCGACTCGGCGACGCGTTAAAACTGTCGCTTCCCTCCATTCGTGATTTTTAAGCTTCCCGTCCTAAATTTGCCCCGGCTACAATGCAAACAGCTGCTGCTCAATTTATTATGCACGCGGTGTAAAGGGTCAAGAAGTCAAGAAAACAACGAGAAAAAAAACAAAAAAAAACATGGCACTGTTTACGAAATCTCAGCATGGTTGTTCGCGAAGTGACCTTAAAATGTTCAGTTTGACATCAGCTGTGATGACTTGTACTGGAAGCCATAAAATAAAGCGGCTATGCAACGATTTCCGGACAATAGCCAGATAAGTATAGGAGTTATTCTCCGACACTTTTAAAGTAAAGAACAGAAAAGCGATTTAGTCTGTGTGCCCTAGTTAGAGTTTTAAATAATAGCAAAGACTCAAGTTTCCAGCACCCCTCAACTCTCTGAATGACATGCTCAGTGACGTCGGTGACGTGAGGAGGCACCGGTTTCCGTGCGCTCTCCCCAAGGATGTTTACTTTTTCTCTCTCTACTGCTCTTCGTGAGGCGTTGAGCTGCAGCGATCCCCGCGTCGCCGTCACGGCGCGTTTCCCATGGCCGCCGCGCACGGCTGCAGAGGGGAAAATATTTTCATTTCCGCTTTGAGATTACACAACAGAATTGCAACATTTTGCAGGAAAGTCATGTTTTTTCGATTCTTTCTGACGCTATCAACAATATAAAAATTACAAGCCACCCGAACTGAACCAGCGCCTCTTTTTCCTTCCGTTTTGTTTCTTGTGTTTTCTTGGCAGGGGGGTTGAATAAATATTTCTTTCTTATTTGGCGTTTTCTTTTTGCTTGTCATTCACATTCGGAAGGAAGCCCAAGGCTGCCTCGAGTACGCGAATACAAGTTCTGCAATTCATTGCGGCTGCATCAACATAAGCGACAGTTTTTAACGCGTCGCCGAGTCGCGGGAAAGATATGCGCGAACGGCGCGTGCCGCGCACCACGCGAGCTCGTCCCGAGCGGTGAGCGACGCTCTCGGAATCTTGGTTCCCGGGGCGGCACCTAGCGCCGATTTAATCGCTCAGGAGCGGATCGCGTTGAAGCGAGCGAACGAATGAGCCAGCAGATAAAAAAGGACGCGCATGCGCATTGCGCGGGTCTCGGCACCAGGCGCCGCGCCGTCAGGGAGCGCGGCGATGCAATTCGGTCGGCGCTCCCGTGTTATCCAGACTTTTGCTCACGACAGTACATCCACTACGCGTTCATGCACTCAAGCTGTTTGCATCAACGACGTAAAGTACGAACAGGCTCTACATAAAAGGAAGCTGAAACGGTTAAAAAGAGAGTTAATCCTTCTTTTTTGGCGTGGTTTTTCCTGGAGAACCTAAATATCACCTTTTGTTTTCAAAAAAACCAAACCTGACAAAAAAAAAAAAAAATCGAAAAATAGGCAGTCGCTTGCTGCCACCGAACGTGATTGGTTGGTCGAGCCGTGATTTCATAAAATGAGCAGGCGCCATTCTGATTGCATCTGTCGCTCAACTATACTCTATTTTCCCGTATGATGTACCGCAGGAGAGGCTACAAGCGCGAGCTCCTTGCTCTGGGACACATCTCTGCGGCACAAGCTCTCGCGCATTAAGGGCAGCTGCCAACGCTATATGAGCTCGCGCTTCTAGCCTTTGCTGCGGTATAACAAAAGGTGAAACGGAGTATATCCACTGGAAATCCTTACCTCGTTTCGTCTCCGATTCGCGTAAGCCCCTCGGATCCATCAAGGTGCCTGCATCTCCTGTAGGAAGATGCTCGGAACTGCCGCACTAGCAACCATTTACTGAAGGTAAACCCTCTTCTTCTTCCACACCCCTTCGCTTCGAGATATGAAACTAATGGGAGGAAGAATTCAGTAAGTGGTTGGTAGTCCACCCGTGTGTTCGCCCTCTTTTTTCTCTCTCTTTCTCCCACGTTCAGCTGGCATCTTTAAGAACCACCAATCAGCTCAGTCTCGACGCTGGCTCTGCGAGTCGAGGAGCACGCGCGAGGAACCTTTCGTGACGTCATGTTTTTCCTTCTCCTTTTACTGCCCTCTCCCGCTGCCGCGGAAGGGCGTGTTTTTAATGCAACTTCGTAGGCGTCTAAGTGATGCGGGCATGTAATAGCCTACTTTTTGTTATGTTCGTGGTGCTTAGTCGGAATAAAACAAATCGAGTGTTTAATTTTTAATCAAATTCCAAGCCTCTTCAGCTTCCCTTTAAGCCGGTTCAGAAGTACTTGTATTTTGAGCGTGGTAGCTGTCTAAACATGCATAAACACGCGGATTCAGTAAAAGCTTTCACATATATAACACAATTTTGAGATCGTACATAGAATTTCTTTCAAATGTAAACAAAATGTCGAGGCTATCTTTCTACCCTTTTTCAAAAACATCTGTCTTATAAGAGATAAAATTCGGCATACTACCTTACGACCATTTAAGTGTAGGAATGCGAAAAGATTCCTACACGCAGCGCATTCCTACAAGCAGCGCGCCACGTCATATCGCACACGGCGCTCCGGCGGTGGCATCACACTCCCCTACTGCGCAAGCGCGGCGAACCCTGCCGGCTTCACGACTGCTTCCGTGACGAAGCATTGCTTTGCTGTGCTTTTCTTTTCTTTTTTTTTTTTTTGCGGGGGGGGGGGGTGGAAATTTACGTGCCGTTTTTCTGCTACGGATGGTTACAGAAAACAGTCGCAGACAACGCCGGTTTCGCTCCATGGGACAGATAATGCATTCGCATTAAAATTTAGAGAGATTCCTATGTCATTGTTTGTAGTTAGATTTTTACCGCTCTCATTGTCTTACTTAGATATAATGCATATAAATACGTTTCTCATAAAAGCCTGTTCTGGTCGCTTCTTTTTTGTATCAGTATCGATTCCCTTCGCCTGTTGCTTTACTGTCTTCATTTCCGCAGACAACTGCATGATTCACCGCTTTAAGCCCGACCTACAAAACGCCTTTCCGTAAGGTAGGAAAATCCTCGTCGCCACCCTTCCAGTTTCTCCCTCTCCCACTGCTTCTTGATGGCGGGAAGGGGGGGGCGGATTTCGTTGCTCCATCTTGTGGGGCTGAATGAGCCGGGAGAAGCGCCGGGCTAATCCAGCCCCAAGATGCAAAGGGTCCCCCCGCCGTCAATATAGCATGGGAGAGGGAGAAATGGGAAGGGTGGCGACGAGGATTTTCCTACCTTGCTGAAAAGCGTTTTGTAGGTCGGCCTTTAATCGAGGTTATCGACGCACAATGCTTGGATTTGGGCTAGATGGTTTGGAATAATGAGGTATGCTGCGCTGCGAAGTTACACTGAACACGTAAACTATGAAACGTCGTCTCATAGTTTACGTGTTTTGTGACATATATATACGAGTCATCGTCTCATGGTTTACGTGTGTGTAACTTCGAAGGGTAGTATACCTAGTAATTATGAACGCAGCAAGTTTTGCCATGCACATTTGCGCGACACTCCCTAAACTTGTATCGAGGCAGAATGTTTATTTTTCACGCTTTACGTCGCAATCTCTTTCAACGCGGTGTATTTACAGCGCTATAATCACTACATAACTGTATGGCAATAGAATTACTAAGCAAATATTCAAAACTCGTATGCCACCAGTGTTTGGTAATAGTAGAGTGACTGTTCTAGAGTAGCTTTTTCTTTTCTTCTGCTAATTTTTTAACTGTTGTTGTTCATCAGTGTCTTATTTTGCTTACATATTGCTTTGACAGTCTCTGTCCCGGCGCCTGCAAGGTATTAGTAAAACAATTACCACATGTTTCAGCAACGGCTTTCAAAAATCCCCATAACTAAGGTAGTTAACAAAAAGAAAATGAACTCTTCCCGGGAACAAACTGCCAGCCACGGCGGACGTCAAGGCTTGCAAAGACACTAATTAGCTAAATAATTCGATAAAATTTACTCATTAACCATTCATTCTTGAAAATAAACATATGGTTCCAATTAGAAACTTGGTAAGCATCATCCAGAACCACAACGTCAACTCACTTTTAGAAAGACATAAGGCAGGATCAGCATTTTACGGCGTCTCGAAGAAACTTTCACTTCCACTTCAGACGCAGTTTTGGTTTCTTATTGGAGCGCATCCTTTGCGCCTGCAGTCCTGCTCCCCAGTGACCGAGGCGCGAAACTCCCGCTTCGCCTCCTCCTCCCTATGATGAAGGGAGGTGTGGCGCATATGTGTTGAGCAGTTTCGGTCCCCGAGGAGCAGGACCGCAGCCGGAAAAGATGCCCTCCAATAAGAATATTAAAATCTCGTCCAAATTAAGCGTTTTTTGTTTTTTGGACGGCGCAAAACGTTTTCTTTGCTCTCTTTCTAAAATAAGTTGATTTAGTGGTTTTCGATGGTGTTTAACAAGTTTCTAATTAGAACCATATATTTATTTTCAGTATTTAGAAAGTTAATTAGTAAAATTTATTCCATTATTTAGCTAATTAGTATGTTGCTTGTTACCTGGACATCCGCCGTCGTTAACTGGCAATTTGCTCCCAGAAATTGTTTTCTTCTCAATCATTCTATTTTTAAAGATATTTTAAAGCCTTCGGGTGAAACACCCTGTACATTGGTTTGTATTTTGTACACATCTTTCGCCTCCCCTTCCTTGACCAAATGTGGACGGTGTTGTAACTAAATACGTAAAAATCCCAGTCATGCATACCAACCATATCGGCCGTAAAAATTGGCACTACATAACACATTTTACTTTACAGAGCCCGAGGTAACTGTATTTATGTGCACATTTGAGCACCACGCCTGTGGCATGCGTAACCAGAGGGACACTCGAAGTCGCTTCAAACGCAAGTCCGAAATGCTCGCAGGCAAACCAGGTGATTGCCTTCTTTGTAAATTACATTTTTGACTCGTTGCATATAAATAATGCTTCCAAGTACCTCAGACAGTTGATGAACCACATAAGAACCATGTATCTATGAGGTGGTTTTGTTTAAAATCAAACCACCGAGTCGGGGTGGATATTTTGATTTGCATATATGTCTGTATACATATAGGGTGGTTTAAATCACCGGGCTCGATCTGAAATGGACCGTTAAAATCGACGCCTGCACGTAGTAAACTTTTCGTCAAAGGTGTATTTCACGGGTCGGTTTTTTCTTGTAAAATAACAAATCGTAGCTCTTTCTGTAAAAAATAAGAAACTTGCCCGGGTCTACGGTGGGCAGCGACGCAGACTGCAGGAGTTCAGTAGCGGGGTGTGTTTGGCGTTCGTATTGACAGATGACGCTACCTCCTTATCGCGACGGCTCGCGACCACCGTGCTTTATTAAAATGAACATAATCTTTTTGAAATGTACCTTCGGTTAAAAAATAGATGTGGACGATAAAAGCAGAACTTAAAGTTAAAAAAAACGCGTCTGCATAACGGCGGCGCTTTTGCTGCCAGCGGATTTCGTCTGCGTGTCGTCTACTTTCTTTCGCTGGTCGGCTGCACCTTCGGACGCTGCTCCCGACGCCATCTGTCAATACGAACGCCAAACACACCCCGCTACTGAACATCTGTCGTCTGCGTCGCTGCCCGCCGTAGACCCTGGGAAGTTTCTTGGCCTTTTAAGCTTTGTAATTTTACAAGAAAAAACCGACATATGATACACACCTTTGACGAAACGTTTAGATTGCTACGTGCAGGCATCGATTTTTACGGTTCATTTTAGATCGAGCCTGGTGATTTCAACCACCCTATATATGTAATAGCCCCATATGTTCATAATAAACCAGTCCGTTCTTGAAAAATAAATGAACAACTCTATTTGTTTTTACCAAAATTCCTAAGTGGAGCAAGGTGAAAACTATATATTGTGACTGCTTTAGTTGGCAACCCAGGTCTGTCGGTTGTTCCAAATAGGCCGCAATAAAAACACTCGTAAGGATTGCTTTATCACTGTATATAAGCTATTCATTTTTATGTTTTGATTAAATCACTTCGACAATTTTCAAGCGATAAATAAGAAATGCTAAACATCGTATCTTTCTCACGTTGTGGTGACCTATTTTGAGTACTGTATGTTGGGATCCATAAATGCTGCTGACTAAATACTTTACACCTGCAGCCATATACAAGTTTTATCAACTGGCACCACCTTTGCTTTTTTAATTTATTTACCCTTTTTTTGAGCCCAATGTAAGTTTTTTTGTTTTTTTTTCTAATTAACTTCATATTGGCGTACTTCCCACTTTTGTTGTATTTTTTGTTGAAGTGATCAAACTTCACGCGCACAAATTGTGAAATAAGCAGTTTCTCAATTGTTCTTTTCTGCCAGGTATTTATCGCAAGTGTTCGGCAGGCAAATGGGGCAACGGGAGCTGGCGGTAGATATAGGGAGGGGGTTTACGTGAAAGTGCCGCCATTAGGACAAAATGTCTGCCCCCAACGCTCCGCTGTTCCGACGCCACTGGCCGGCTGAATTGAGTTATCGCTCAGGCCAGCAGGTGGTGCGTAGTTACTGAAAAGAATCTGAAAAGCAAGCCACACGTGAAATGCTTTTTGGTTTTCTTTGTTTATTTTGAATTCGAACTCTCGAATCGGAATGTTTACGTTCGATATCCCAGTTTAGTGTGTAAAATAATTCTCTCTTCTCGACTGTTTTTCTGCTTGTCGCGTTATTTTTCCTCCTGAAGCGTGCCCCGACTCAATCCTAACGGATGTTAAAAACAAGACGAGATCTACAACCGGCGTACCTGTTGTTGTAGCCAGCGTTCTAGTTCCCGGCTTCATGTTTTACGTTCGAATTCTCTTGTGCCCAATTTCAACGACGGCTTGCGTTAACAGATTTGGTCACATCTCCTCGCGATGGACGACATAGATTGAAATTCTGAAATCAAAATTCTCGCTTTAAAATTTGTCTCGGCTTCTCTTTGTAAGCTTGCGATTACGTCGAAAAACCGGCAATATGAGTGGTAGCCGAAACGGGTAGCATTTCGCATAAAATGTCTACATAATACTAGGCTATGAAACCCACTCCTACATTGCGGCAATAGGAAAAATGACGGTCCATTCCAACCTCTTGACTTGGCAGCTTAGGGCTCCGGTTCCGCGATGACCATCTTGAATGGATACACACCGGTTTTTAATTTATTTAAACGAATCTAAAAATGTGTGCTCAAAAGTACCTTTGTAAACATATTCCCGGTGTAGTCACATATTAATTATTGGCCTAGAAAAAAAGAGTAAATATTTCTACTTTTTTAATTTTTCTCCTCCAATCTTAATGTTATCAGGGCTATAATTTTACATCGCGTGCGAAATGTATTATTGCCACGTGCGAACAGCTGAGCTACAGCGTGCTCGACTCCCACGCCGCTGGATGGGATTTGACCTCTGCGAGCGCCTGTCCTTTTTATCGTTATTTTGTTTGCATGATATTGGAATGTTCCAGATGACTCGATAATCTTGTTGTTTGTTCGAGCTCGTAAACTTCTTGATACCCGCGTGCTCACAAAAGGAGCTTCGCATGGCTGCTTGAGGCAGTCGTCCTTCCGTCAAAGTCCAAGTGTGTCTTTGTTGCTTTGTTTCTCGGACCAAGTTCACCGCATTAAACCTTCGTTTTAAGTTTCATTAATCAAGTTTGTTTTCATTCGTGACAATATGAAGGCGTGGACGAAACATTCTTTTGTGTTAAAAAAAAATGGCTTGTGATACAACTTAACTACTCTTTAAAACGCACTTAACGCAAACATTAAAAAAAAAAAAAAAGCTCTCGTCCCCTTTTATTTACTATTATGCCGAGTACGCGTTTCAAAATGACCACCCTCTTAAATAATAATGAACGATAAAACTGAGAAGCACGTATCAATATTTACTCGCTGCTTATCCAACTAAATAACTAACGCACGATTATAATAGCTTGCACTAGAATCCCCAAAGAACACGAGGAATGTGTTAGTAAAGGTACTTGTGCCTATTTTTATACTTAGTGAATTAAAACCCGTTTCGTATCCATTCAAGATGGCCGCCGTGGGACGTCGCTGTGCCAGTTCATATTGCTGCACACTGTACCTAAGTGACGTAGCGGTAGTTTTCGAAACGAGTGAATGACATGATGTGCCTCCTTTAGGTTTCCACATGGTTGTCGACGCTCAAAAGGCCGGGTACAACGTGGCACGCCTCATCACACCTTACATGCCGGTCTACGCCAATACCACTGCCTGCGTGGCCATTGCCTACGTCGTGAACGGACCCGGCGCTGAAAGGCTCGAGATCCTGGCCCAAGACAGCGATAACCGTCATGTCCTCACGCTGCCGAACGGCGCCTCGAATTGGAGGCACGTAGAGCAGTCCATAAACGTGACCCAAGACGTCCGGGTAGGCATCCTTTCTTTGTCGTTCGCTACAATCTGGCGAAACTACAACGCGCTCTGAAAATATGCTCTTGGATATTAACCTGTGCGCGAAAGATGGGGAAAAAGGCCCACTTTGCGATCAAGATAATTGTCTCGCACTGTACGACCAAGTTGTCCTGCTAGTTTCTTTCTTTCTTTTTTTTGGAGGGGGAGAGGAAGGGGGGGAGAGGAAAGAGGGAGGGGATAGAGTGGGAGGTGATTGTGCGGCTCATGCGCAGCTTAGAATTGATATAAAGAGCATTAAGACCCAATGTTCTTTTCGGAAAATGCTAGCATTGCGATAAAAGTGATATGTTCATAGCTGTCTCGTGTTGTGCCATCACCTGACGTCCGTGCGCCCTTTTTGCTGTGCAGTTCTTCATCTCAGCCTACACGAAACGTAACGCCGAAGGGGTGATTGCCATCGACAACTTCAGGTTCCACTTATCCCCATGCTTTAAAGATTAAAAATAAAAGTAAAGGTAAGCGATCACTTGTTGTCTTTCACTTATTGTAATCTTGGCGAAAACAATGTATTGCCGTTTTTGCTTAAAAGGTACATAATTAGTCTAGACCGACCTTCGCGTTTCTCGACAGATGTGCAAATATATCCACTTTCAAACTAATGTGTTTTTGTTTTTATTGTTTGTACTATTAAAATTTCGTTAGGTTCTCCAAGGTCGCTGTACGTCTTATTTCCTCGACAACTATCTGTGGCATGCGAATTTTCGCTGCGCCGGTGACGGGGCTACAAACTTGTCAATTTCTCTTTTAGGGATGTATCTCCCATGTCTTCATTGACACAAATAAAACGGTCTGGGAGTCATTATAATAACCATGGGTCTGAAAAACTGGTTATCATAATGACTAGATACGGCGTCCCTAAACGCGCCTCCGAAGGGTGCGTCAACGGGCATCCGACTTAATGTTTTTGAATTCTGCGATGAACTACCGCGTTGTTTCTCTTATTTAGACATATATATATATATATATATATATATATATATATATATATATATATATATATATATATATATATATATATATATATATATATATATATATATGGTGGGCAGGACACCCCTCGAGCGGGACGTTCCATGTTGCGCCACGTGACCAGCTTAGTTTCCGCAGATGCCACCAGTCTAGCACTCCCCGGAGAAAGCCGCACGCTGGTTGTTTAAACTGTTCGTCGACATTCCATGGTCGGAAGGCGGGAAACACGGCTGCCGCGCCATCGTACGCTGCCCGTACGGTTTGTCTCTGATGCCTCCATCGTGCTTCGGTACCGACGACGCTTACCAATATTAAGATGGAGAAGCTCTCAGTGTTGTCTTACCACCAAGCAATTTGGCATAAGGTCTATTGTGATTTCAATCTTGTGAATCTTTTTACTTTTCATGCAGGTGACCAGACGGCTCGCTCTCCTCTCAGAGCAGGACTTGCCGACATTTCAAATGTGGCGAGATGCTCTCATTTCACACCATACTTGTGTTCAACCACGTGTACAAAAAGCAGTATACGTTCCAAATAAACGTTATCCAGTAACTGTACTCTTGTGTTGCTTTAGACAGTCTTCCTTTGTGACTTTAACGCGTTCAGATTACTGTGGCACGGTAACGTTCGGCGGAACCTTTTGTAACTTTCGATATGATTTTCTACAGTTGACTGTCGTTCGCACTGCAGTCCTAGTTGACTCCGAAGAAAATGTTATGTTTTCTGGTGTTTTTTGGTTTTGTTTTTCTGATGGACTGCGAGGTTTAAAACGCTTTATTTTGTGATGCATTTTAGAATATTTATGAACTTTTTAATCTTCAAAATAAAGGCACCTGCGAGCACAAGACAATTATGTTCACATATTTTTTCTCTGCATCGAATAATCATTGGGGTTGTGCGGGTATTTATACAGAGTGTGGTTGGTCAGCCATTTCAAAGTTGCGACGAGTCTCCCAGCCGTAGATGTGCAATTTAGCCAGCGCAGTACAACCGCTAGCCTGGGGGTCTTTAACGTGCACCACGCAGTTGTGATACACGACCGCACGCCGGTACGATGCTCCATCGCTAGGATTGGCACTGTGACGGTTCAGAAATGAACACAATAAAACTTCCGATAAGTTGTACTTCGCGCAATCGCGTCTTCGTCTTTTGTGTCTTGCGCTTAAAAGCCGACCTACAGAATCCTGCCAGACAGAAAACCGTTTTCCAGTTTCCTTTTCTTCGTTTCCTCCCGCACTCTTCTTTCCTCTTTCCAGAAAGGAGCGGGTCTTTGAGCCCGCAAGAAAATGGGAGGGTCTCGCTCTTTCTCGAATGGAAAGGACAAATTGACGAAGAGTTTCCTCCTTTCTGGCTGTTGGTCGGCCTTTAACGCCTTAGCGGAACAGTGGACATGGATGGGTCGATGAGGCTGAACCCTCTGAATCGGGCGGCCATTTGCGCAAACTAGCCAGCGCTTCTTTTTTTTTTTTTTAACATCTAACATGGGGTTATATATCAGAGATTTATACTGAAAAGATGTGTACGACCTGTACGAACACCTTCCGCCATACCGGACGGGTCGCCTGGAATGAAATAAGAAAAGTTTTCATCCTTCCGTGTACCTATGCCACCAGTTAAATATTTTCTTCTGCCCACTATTTGCCACCGTGGAGCCCACAGCTTTGCTGACTTGGCCCCCATGAAGCGAAGGCTCCGGAGCGCAAGAGTTTGGTGCTCCGTTCACCAAACGGACAGGAGTGCCGCCGGGGACTGACACTCGAGCGCGCTCTTCGTGCACCGAGAATTTCTCGGAGCGCGAATGACTTCTTCGCTTCTTTGCGATCTATGACGTCACGTCCACAAACAAGATGGCTGCGCTGTCGTCGAGACCGTCGAGACGAAGGGCACACCTGGACCGCTGCCCATTTTTAGCCGAAAAGTGTTCTATCAGGCAGGTAAAAACGATTTGATTTCAAACCCAAGACAGCGATTAGCGTTCCGGAAAAGGTTTGTTCGTGCATCTCGCTAGAAAACGAATTCATCTATCGAGCGGTCGCGTGTCGATAGGACAGCGACAGAAGACTCCACGAGATGAGAAGACATATGGACCGCTGCCCTTTCTAGAGTTCTTATCCAGCGAATAAAACTACTTTGATCGGAAAGCCGAAACACGAGTTAGCGTTGCGGAAAAAGTTTGTTCATGCAGCTCCCCAGAATACGAATTGACGTACTATTTATTGAAAGGTGGTGTGCCGACGGGTTCCGTCTCGCGCTGCTAGACGGCACGGAACATCTGAAAAGTTTGGCAGCTTGATGCGTCAACAAGCGGGCTCAAGAATGTTGTCTTTAATCAAAATCTGAACTGCGTGCATGGTCAATAAATAGAGCAGTCAAGGTAACTTTTGGCATTTGTTTTTACTTTACACTCTGCCGCTCCACAGAGGCCCTAATTGATTTATATTCGAACTAAATTTGGCTTGTTCCACCCGTATCCACGAGATGCCGGATTCGCTATAACCGTGAGGTTGGAGGTGGCTCCTGCGGCTCGTCGATAGTTTCGGTGTGTTGCGCTCCTACACGTATATGATCCGTCTAGCGAAGCGCAGGCCTAAGTCGAGCATGCGCTTCGCCGCCGTGCAGCCAACATCAACTTTGCCCCTGAATAGCAGTGGTGGGACCCACGGGGGTTTTCCATGGACAGCCCAACTCGGGAACGAACACGCTTTGCCACCACGGAGCCCTCATGTCCATAGTGTCGTGGTGGATCCCATGGGGTTTTTACATGCGCAGCCCAAGTCGGGCATGCCCACACTTCTCCGTTGAGCCGCGCAACTTGGCCCCGCACGGCCGAGGTGGGACCCACAGGGATCTGACATGGGTAGCCCAAGTGAAGTATGCTCGCTCTTTGCCGCTGTGGAGCCCCCTTCGCAAACTTGGCTCCGCAGAACCGAGGTGGGAACCGCCGGGGTTTTACATGGTCAGCACAAGTTGGGCATGCCCGTAGTTTGCCCTCCTGAAGCCCAGATCTGCGTTAACCGAACCTCTATGTGTCTGCTGAGGTTCTGGCTCCTTCCCTTCAACACATTGAATCCCGCATGCACTACTGGTAGATTCCCTCCCTCCGTGTTGCTCCAGGGCTCTTCCTTAGCTTTGGCGATAGCGTCTACGATGCACTTTCCTGACTCGGCCACCACGGTTACCCTCCCGTCCTCTTTCACCCTGGCCAGCAGACACCCCTTAACCCTGGTTGCGTTCGAGTCTCCTACCATCAGTACCCAGTCTTAGCCTCCAACTGCCTGTCTTCCTTATCTCCCCCCCCCCCCCCCCCCCCCCCTCTCTCTCTGCCCTGCGACTGACTCCCTCCAGCTATCTGCGCTACCTCACTTCTTGGTGGCTGCCGGTTTACCACAGAGTCCTTTACTCCCCGCTGGTACGGCAGGGGTTTTCCCAGGAATTGAAATTATAGGGGGTCCAAATTTTTAGGGGGGGGGGGGGGGGGGGGGAGGGCATTGAGAATAGAGGAGTCGTTGCAAATTAACGGGGTGCCTTCAGAAAAACAAGGGGGGGGGGGGGTGCGTAGGGAAATCATTGCATTACGACACTAGGGTCGAGGAGCCACTGCCGCCCCGATAACTTCCATCTGTTGCCTAGTGCTTTCTTCCCCTGAAACTTCCCTGCCCGCTACGTTTGCTGTTGCCTCGCTCCTCAGCTGCCCCAACCCATGCCTCGCACTCCCTCTCAAGCCTGGTTCACACACTTGCGTGAAAGGCGGCTCACACACTCTCGTGAGTCCGACCCAGTGCGGCAGCAACGGCCTGCAACGTTAATCTTTTTACGGAAATTGCTATGGCAACGGGGCGGTTGTAAGCGGCTTAAAACCCCGTCGCCATAGCAACCCGTAAAAAGATTAACGTCGCAAGCCGTTCTCCGATCTCTGTGACTATTGCTGGATCGCGTTTGCCCGCTCCGCGGATGCGGCTACTGGCGGCCATCTTTTTGGTAGAGTTAGATCACCTCTAGCCAATGTACAGCTGGTGCGGCCATTCATCCATCCATGGCAGACAGCGTTGTGGCAAAAATAGCCGTGGGTTATATTTCGTTCTTGATTGAAATTGTTTGACGAAACATATTGTTGAAACCAGGCGTGAACGGTAGCTCAATCTTTGAGGACCCAGTGAAAGTTTCACGAAATCGCAGTACAGGGGAAAAGCAGCACAGAACGCATCGAAAGTCGTATCGAAAGAAGCATCGAAAGCAGACGCCGGTACGGCGTCTGCTTCGATGCGAGCTGCGCCGCTTTCTTGCGGTGCTGCGCTTTCGTAGAACTTTCGCCGGGTCCTCAAAGGTGGGGCTGCCGTTCACTCCGGGCTTCAAGAATCTGCTTCGTCGAACAACTTCAATCAAGCGCTAAATATCACCCACGGTACAGCGTACTAAATCCACGGCTATTTTATGGCAGCCTGAAGCCATAGCGCTGTCCGCCATATTACTATGGTGGCTAGAGATAATATAACTCTGCCAAAAAGATGGCCGCCTGGCCGCATTTCCGTCCATAGGCAGAGCTGGTCAAACGCGATCCAGCAAATACACATAGAGATTAGTGGGCGTCACCGCCGGCGTAACTGCGCGGTGCATTATGGGACGTTTTAGAGCGCAGCTCTTAGGCGTCCCTTTCCGGCTTGAGCGGCGTCGCCGTAGGCGTAATTGCGCTATGACGATGACGATGAGGATGACGTCATCGTCATCCTCATCGTCACTGGTGCCGCTGATGACGTCATCAGTGACGATGAGGATGACTTCATCACAATGACGATAACGATGACGGTAAATCCGACGCTAAATTTAACGGAAAACATTTCCTCACTAAATTTAGCGCAAAATATTCCCGGCTAAAGTAGGGGAAAAAATTGCCTCGCTAAATTCCCTCAATGCTCTCACCAAAGATGTGCATTTTCTGCGACTTGCGTTAAGCGCACGTCGATCCAAATCCATGTTAGTAGTGGGGGACTTTCCACCTTCTCCCCTCAGTACCTTTCCCTCCTCCTCCTCAAGAGCTGCGCTCTAATTTGGCGTTACAGGGGATTTTAAAAGTCTCATTTTTTCATGATGACGTCACACGTGACGTCACTGTTACGTCAAGAGGGTCACCGCGCGCTGAATTATGGGTAAATTTCCCTGCTAAATTTAGCAAAAAACTTTTCCGCTATATTTGGCGGAAAAATTTCCCCGCTAAATTTAGCAGAAAAATTCCCCCCTAAATTTATCGGATAAATTTCCCAGCTACATTCGGCGGAAAATATTCCCCGCTACATTTAGCGGAAAATTTAGCGGGGAACATTTTCCACTAAATTTAGCTGGGCAATTTTTCCGCCAAATTTAGCGGGGAAAATTTTCCGCTAAATTTAGCGGGGAAATTTTTCTGCTAAATTTAGCAGGGAATTTTTTTCCGTCAGATTTAGCGGGGTAGTTCTTCCGCTACTTCGCGGCGCCATCCCGTGGGGACGTTGCGAACTTCATATAGCTGTCCTCCAAACCAGTCCAAGGTCACTCCATGTACCAGGGCCCGCTAACGCATTGAAAATCCCCTCGCGGCTATTTCCGCCGCACGGTGGCGCAACGCGCGTGGCCACCTCTTTTTTCAGCCTCTCCCGGCGATTGGAACGGCCTGAGGAGAGCCCTGGGCGCGAAAACTCTCGGAGGCCTCTCAGTGACTATGGGTGGTATTGGCTGAACACACCCGCAACTTCCAAGCTGCCCTGGAATTCCCGCACAGAGCAGGAACGTCCCTGGGTTGCTGCCACATATATCACCATCAAGTGCCAACGCCACTGGCTGCCCCAACTGCAATATATCTTCGAATTATTATAGCAAACATTATAAACCTTTAATTTACCGTACCCTTGAAAGTTAAGGCCATCTGGTTTCGAGCTAACACATTTCACAATGTACCGCTTTGTCCAGTTGTTAGTAATTTTAAGGCAAAACTGGCTGACCTAATTCCCACCAAAACTGTAAAAGTATTAACGTGTTAAGGAGCTCGTGTCGCAGAAAAGCCGGCGTAGGTATCGGTGGGACGAGAAAATCCTGATTGGTGGATAGGGTTGTGACGTCATAGTTGTGACGTCATAGGGTTGTGACCTCGCGCGGATATTTCAAACAACCCACAAGGCTCACGTGAAGTCACACGTAGATCCAAACTGATTAAAACGTGACATGTAATGCAAATGAAAGGTCGCCGCATGTCTTAAACAATTAAACTTTATAAAGTAATTTATTTGCCTTAAAAAAAATTAAAAGAATTTTTGGCGGGGTTCGAACCCATGACCCTTCGTTTTGCAAGCCAGACATGCTACTGACTAGTTACGCAGATACGCATGTGCAGCTTTCGCGATCCACTTTGAAAAGCGAAGCTGAAGCGTCCTCCTGGGACGCTCCACGAGTGGTAACTTCAGTACAACACGACGCTTCTCAGCGCACTCAAAGTCTTTCTGAAAATGACTGATTTAGTGGTTTTCAATGACGCTGAGCAAGTTTCTAATTGGAACCATATGTCTATTTTCATTAAATAAAAAGTTAATTCACGAATTTCAAATAATTAGCCGACTGATCGCTACGATTGGCCCCCTATACTATGTCCCCCGGCCGTATAACTCACCTCCACAAGCGGCATTGATAGTCGTATAGTCCCTCATTTTTTGTCTTTGTGTTCTGCATGTGTATTACATTGTCTACTGTTTTTTGTACTCACTCCTATCATAGTCCCCACTGGGGGACTGATAGTATTATGAAATAAATAAATAAGTGTAACTTTCACGCCTTTTTTTAAACAAATCTGTTAAGCTTAAAAAAAAACACCCTGTATATATGTATATATATTCAACATGCAACAGCCTCACGGGTGGTGGGAAAGGAGAAAGGCGGGGGGGGGGGGGGGGGGTGCGATCGGAACAGCTTTGTGTGTGGGGGCGCCTACTCCCACTGCCCCCCCCCCCCCCCTTTCCCCGTTCCAGAGCCCCGACGGCAAGTTATTAAAATATCTGAAAAAAAAAAAAAAAATGAAAGACGTTTACAATTTTCTGTAATGCCAAATTAGAGAGCAACTCTCGAGGAGGAGGACGGAAGGGTACGGAGGGGAGAATTTCCCCCTCCTCCCCCTTTCCTCCTCCTCATCTGCTCCCCTACCATTTAGCGGGAAATTTTCCCTAAATTTCGCGCTAAATTTAGCGGGGATTTTTTTCGCTAAATTTAGCGGGGAATTTTTTTTTCGCTAAACCTAGCGGAAAAATTTTTCGCTAAATTTAAAGAGAAAATTTCCCCACTAAATTTAGCGGAAAAAGTTGCCCGCTAAATTTAGCGGGAAAATTTCCCCGCTAAATTTCGGCGCCGTGTGACGTCACGAGGGTAACGACACACGTGACCTTCGTGACGTCACGTGTGACGTCATTATGGGAAACGTCCCATGATGCAAAGCGAGGTTACGCCGACGGCGACGCCGCTCAAACCGGAAACGGCCGCCTAAGAGCTGCGCTCTAATAAAGCAACTTGAGTAAGTACCGTTAGTTGAGTAAAGAGAATATTTGAGGTTCGTGCAAGTCTGATTAGACGCCCTTGCATAGTTTTGATTGTAGCCACGAATGAGGTGTAACACATCCTCGTTTACGGATGTAGGACAGAATTGTCTCGAACAAATGAACCTTGGCCAAAATGGACCCAACTACCAAATCGGACAAATGGTCCCAAGTGAATTTTGGACGTTCGATTAAGCTTTAAGCCGCACACTGCTCAAACATCATACTAAAGACACGGATGTTCGATGCAGCGATGCATGATCACATAATTATATGCGTACATGCCTCGAGCACGTTTGCTTACATATGCATACTTTGAACACGTCTGCTCACAATTTTTGTATGACCAACGTAGCAGGACGGCCACACAAAGAAAAAATGAACACGCTTCGGAGTGTCTGCAGGCTGCCTTTTGTATTAGCAGTGTGACAGCCCACAGCTCGAAGTTTTCTACTAAAACTCTACTCTGAAGATGAATTCCACACTCGTTCAGTGCATCTTTTATTGTATACGACTTTTCCGCGTGGACAGCGCTCGAAATAGCCCGCAGAGCGCAGGAGCGACGGTTATCAGTGTTATCGGGGCTTTTTCCTGGCAAAGCTGATAAGCGTGAGGTCACCGACTCGCCGACGCCATTGATCAGTCTTCAGAGAGACTTTGCTTCTCCGTCCGTACAAACTACCACTTTGTACAGATCGTTTCTCATGTGCTCCTCGATGGGCATCTGGCTTCTCACAGTGGCCAGGTGATCCAAGTCGACCTCAGCAAGCAGCAGTTCTTCGCCAGCCCCGGCCGAACAGACCACCGCGCCGGAAGGATCCGCCAGGATCGAATGTCCCCAGATCACGCACGACGCTGCCTGGTTTCTCGCAGGTGACACCCAAGCGAAGTAAACCTGATTCTCCAACGCCCTGCACTTAGGAAGCAACTTCCAGTATTGCGGACCGGTGACCAAGTTGAACGCCCCTGGATACAAGAGCAACTTGCAGCCGAGCTGCGCGTACAGCTGAGAGAAGGAAGGGAACGCGATATCGTAGCACACGCCGACCCCCACTTTGCAGAACGGAGTGTCGAAGGTGGTCAGCCCGTTGCCCGCTGTCAAGAAGTCCGACTCGCTGAAGACGAGCTTGCCGGGAATGTTAAAGCCACCGAGATGAACCTTGCGGTGCTTGGCCAGCATCGAACCGTCCGGTCCGTAGACCAGGCAGGTGTTGTAGAGCTTGCCGTTCTCCTTCTCGGACAGCGTACCTCCGACGAGGTAGACCCCGTTTTCTTGGGCGCATCTCGACAACATCTCGCTCGATCGTCCGGGAATCGTCTCTGCGTACTCCGAGAAGGACTTGGGCTCGTAGGGGAAATTGAAACATTCCGGGAGGCAGAGTACCTTGGCTCCCGCCGAAGCCGCCTCTCTTATCAGCTTACTTGCTCTTTGGAGGTTTTCCGTCTTGTTGGCTGTCACCGCAAGCTGCAGAAGCGCCAGGCGAAACTTGCTCGTCGACATCGCTACTGACTCCGAGCGAGCCAAGTCTTGGCTGCGCGGTTTGCAATAAAGGCGGGATGCAGCAGCTCCCAATCCGTGGCGGGCAGCTCTGTATCAGTAAACCTTGGTATCAGTGCGCACTCCGAGAAGGACTTGGGCTCGTGTGATTAGCGTCTTATTCCGCCCGCGCATCGAAAGTAGTCACGATGTGGAAACAAATGACGTCAGAAAACCGGAGCGTCATGCTGTCGCGACTCTGGCGGTTGGGCGTAGAAGTTCATTCAATAAAAGCACGAGTAAACGCGAGTGACACTGTTGACAGCGTCGTTGCGGCTTCCCAACTCTTGGCTGCCGAAGCGTATGTGGACTGTCGAGCTGGAGAGCGACAGCAGCAGAACAGGCGTCTTCTACATCCACCACCGCTGCTGTACCACCGCCACGATCGCAGCCGGCGAGAGCATGACGCTTTTATAACGGGACGACTTTTTTGGACGCCGTAAAGACATCAGTCGAAGACGCATTCCATGCATCGTACGTAGTATCAGTCTTTATCACTTTATCGACGAGCGCACTGCTCTGCACTTGTCCCGCCACGAACCGCTGTTGAAGTGCGCACGCACTGCGCTTCTCCGGTCAGTTTCAGTTCGAAGCCGCGTACAAGGATTACACTTGGTCGCCTTGTAGCGCCCACTTATCGTGGGTAGCGCCATTTTGAGAGCGAGAGAGAAAAGGGGAAAGAGCTACCGGCGCTTCCCCCTTGCTGGGTTGGTAGAAAGTGGGGAAGTCTCGGACGAGAGGCTTCGTCCGTGTTGGGTGTATGCAGCGCCCGAACTTCGTTCGCGCATTCTTCTCTGTTTTAAACTCGCAAACTTAATTGGTACTGTACCCCAGGTACCCCATTGCCAAAAGACAGTCCTGGTACCATCACTCCTTTCCATATAGCTCTGACCCCTTCATATTTATTATAGTTGCGTAGTGCCTTGAGCTTCATATTAGATGAATTTCTTTTCCCTTTTCGAATTTTATTCTCATCATGTTACTCTAGATATTTCCTTCCCTCGTTGAGCCAGACTACCAGATATTTGTATTTTCCTGCTTGGTCTATTTCAATGTCTTGTATCCTCGGGGGTTCCCTCTTTTCGTCGTTGAACACCATTACTCCAGACTTGTCATTACTAAATCTCATGCCCAATGTGTCCCCTTCCTCTCCACATATTCGAGCTAGTTCGCCTGTAACGTATCCTGTTTATCTGCCGTAAGTACTATGTCGTCTGCATACATCAGTCCTGGTATTACCTGTCCCACATTTCTCCCTCCTTCCATAACTCGCATCAAAACCTCAGTTGCTCTGCTCTAATTTCTTTTCCATTTCACTGAGATACATCATGAAAAGTAGAGGTAACAGTGGACAGTTCTGCCTCAGCCCTCTTTTTTTATTGCAGCGAGTTGTGTAGTTTCTGCTTCCCATGGGAAAGGATGTGCGCCAATGTTGCCTGCACGAGAGCAGACGCCCGCTCTGTTGCAACTCTGTTGCCTCATGCGCCTTTCCTACTCTTGCCTCCCATTGCAAGCAAAGAACGCCTTGGCGTAGCCTTTCTCTCTTTTCGAGAGGAGAAAGCAGTGTTGCCAGACAAGCAACAGCGTTCAAGATGGCAGAATTTACCGTGACACTGTCGAGTGACGGGGTATAGGGAGTACTCACTGCAGCGGCCATATCTGCGTGCGCGGCTGCTGAGCGCGTGCTGACGGCGACCTTCCGCAGTCCTTTTGGGGCGTGCATTTAGCACCATCAAGGTTGCCGGTCTTAGCAGGCTATCAATGTGAGCTCGTTCTGGGCATGCGCTCTAAACATCGCCCTCAAATATGGCGTCCAGTGAATACCTCCTATTGGCGACATGTGCGATCTAAAGCGTCGCTGTGGTCGGATTTTCACGATTGGCCGAATGCTGACTATGACGTCAGCAAAGGATTTCTTATCCACAGAAGTAAGAGTAATGTAAGAGCTTGAATTTCGACGGTGTTAGCAGTATTGGTTTCAAAGCGCAATGATTTCTAGCTTCGACCGTATTCATTACAAACATCGTTGAACTTGTTATTCGCAAGGTAATGACGTCACGAGAGGGAACCATAGGAGGGCGCCACCAAAACGTCTCGCCGCTAATAGACGCTTTGCAGCAGCTGTGCATGGGCACCGCCATAACTGACCTTCCGTTTTTGTTTCCCCTTCTTACGTTTACTTCACTTCATTATTACCATAGCAGGCTAGGTTATTGCCATCTTAGATTTTATTCTGGCTTTCTTCCCAGCATTGGTTTTTGTGGAGGCTCGTCCACACCAATTTCAGTGCCTCGGTATCTCGGTAAAACAAGAGGTCAGCAATGGCGGCTGTATTCTGGCGCGTGTGTAAAGCGTCTATAAGTGTGGTCTAACTTGGGAAATATTACTGCAACCAAAGCACCGCGGAAGCCAGCGAGCTCGCGCTCAGCTTAAAACGGGTTATATCAGCACGCGCGAGGTTTTTTTCAGCGAAGGGGCTGTTTATGGATAGGGTTCCGTGGATTTTTCGTGTGCAGTGACTAAAAAAATCTACGCTCGCACCGCCGCACGCGCACGCCTTCCCTGTATAAAAGATTCGAAGTAAATAACCAAAACAAAACTTTGACGAACGCGCGTGCAAGATGCCATTTGTTTTAGGCTTTTACTTTAGAACAGTTACTGCTGCAGACGCCGGTACGCGTGCGGCACGTGGAACACCCTTCCCTGCATTCTCCCTGATGCTTGGGTATTTAGTAGATATCAATAGGCACCATTTTCAAGATCGGTAGACTCTCAGGTAGATAATAAAGGTTTCTCTAAGATTTGCCGCTGTGCGACCCGCGTCGGCCAACTCTGCGCTCTCATCGCCCACTCTTTGTCGTCGTTTCACGCGCTTGCGTGCCTAGTTTTCTTTCCTGGGGTGGCGGCACAGCGCAGCCAACGTTACTGGAGCAAGCTCAGTTTCACAGCTCGTATTCACTGGACGCCATATTTGAGGGCGATGTTTAGAGCGCATGCTGAGAACGAGCTCACATTAATAGCCTGCTAAGACCGGCAACCTTGATGGTGCTAAATGCACGCTCCAAAAACTGCGGAAGCTCGCCGTTAGCACGCGCTCAGCAGCAGCGCACACGGATATGGCCGCCAGTGAATACTCCCTATTCTCGCCAGCAGAGGCGAGTGGCCCAGGTGGCAGTCACGAGAACTAGCGGCGCTGCAGTCGGATCTTGCTTCCCTCTCTCGCGCGTCGTCTACTACCACCGCGTTGAGAGCTTCCTTTTCTTTTTGTTTTCCTCTTCTTTTTTTTTTACTTCCATGTGTTTAATAATATATAAAAAAAAGATGATGAACATGAAGTGTAATAAACCAAAGAGATCAGAGTCGGCGCATTGTGGGTGATCTTTCTTCGAGTGTTTGAAATTTATTTTTGTGTGCGTCTGTTTCCTTGCACTGAAGTGTTAGTATGAATCAACAACTCGCCCAAGCTCAAGTATTGCTATCCGAACTTGGCGGCTAGACAATCCGGAAGCAAGACTCGACTGCAGCGCTGCTAGTTCTAGTGACCGCCACTGAGCCCACGTCGCAGGCGGAGCTGTGAAACTGAGCTTGCTCCAGTAACGTTGAGCGCAGCACTGACTGAGCTAGATTTCAGACGCCATGATCTTCCCAGAAGTGGCGCGCGGCACTTGTCTCGAGCATTTCCACAATGAATGGCGCCACTTTTCCCAGGATCGAGGGACTTCACGATGTCTACGCTCGCGCCGCCCTCTCTTCGTCGTCGTTCCTAGCGCTTAATTGCGTGCCTAGTTTCCTTTCCTTCCGCTCTCCCGGGGTGGCGGTCCCGTCGCGCGTGTCTCCTCCGGCTCCTCGGGCGGGGTCTGTGTCGTCTGCTAAACAGCTCCGCAGGTCATCCATCTTCAGAGTGGAAAGCCTCACGATTTTTTTCTTCTCCGTATATATTTGACGTGTTTTGCGTGTGTCGCTCCTCCGCACTGCGAGAAGCGCACTCCACGGAGAAATTAAGCAGCACGAACTATTAAAACTTTGGTTTGGGCTAGTTGGTCCATGGTAGGTATAAGGTTTAAGAGCGCAAACCAGACAGGGACAATTGAAAATAACACAAACGACAGGGACAAGGCGCTACTCTCAACCGTCAGTTGAGAGTAGCGCCTTGTCCCTGTCGTTTATTTTCTATTGTCCCTGTCTGTTTGCGCTTTTAAGCCTTAAACCGAACTATTAAGTCGCTCGAAATACTGCGCGAGTTCGAATACACCAGGAACAAGTAAAAATATCAAAAATATGTCCTACCAACACCCCCCCCCCCACACACACACACACACACAAAAAAAAAAAAAAAAAAAAACTTTTTTTTTTTTTTTTAAATAAATATCGCATTACTGAATGCTTATTCTCCGCCAAAATGTAGTGCTCTCTCCGAACCAGATGCCAAAGTTTTGAAACTAATAGTTATCCTATATAAAAGTTGCGAATTTCTGACATTTTTATGGGAATGGTGGCCGACAGAGCCGTCCAATACCGAGCTGAATGGTGCAGTTACCGAGAACGAGCCATTCTTTCATCGAAATTTCCAGAAAATCCCGTTAAACTTTTGAATGACATGACCGTCAGTTCTGAAAATTTGGCATATGGTTCTAACTGCTAGCGGTACAATTTGCCCGCGGACAGCGGTCAGCGATGCTTAAAGGGGCTCTGCGAGGACTTTTTTACTCGTTTTTAATTTGCACCGGACCTGAGCGCACTGAACGTAGTAACTTCATGAAACTTTTCTCGAATTTCGGTTTATTTTAAAAGTTATAGGCAAAGTAAAATTACAAAAACAAGCAAAAAATAACCTCCTTCATGACGTCCTTGGTTGCTCGAGTGGCCGAGAACTAGAGGAGGGGTAGTGAGCTCAGCGAGCGGTCACGGCCAGTGGCGTACCAACTTGTTTTAGAGCGCAGCTCTTAGGGGCCCGTTCCCGGCTTGAGCGGCGTCGCCGTCGCCGTCGCCGTCGGCGTAACCAAGGTCATCCCAAGGTCACGTGACCCCCAAGGTCACGTGACCCCTCCAGGTCACGTGACCCCTCCCAAGGTCATCTCAAGGTCACGTGACCCCACGTGACTCCCAAGGTCACGTGACCCCTCGAGGTCACGTGACCCCTCCCAAGGTCATCTCAAGGTCACGTGACCCCAAGACCCCACGTGACCCCCAAGTCACGTGACCCCTCTGAGGTCACGTGACCCCCGAGGTCACGTGGTCTCCTCCCCAAGGTCACGTGACCCCCAAGGTCACGTGACCCCTCCCAAGGTCATTTCAAGGTCACGTGACCCCAAGGTGACCCCCACGTGACCCCCAGGTCACGTGACCCCTCTGAGGTCACGTGACCCCTCTGAGGTCACGTGACCCCCGAGGTCACGTGACCCCCCTCCCCGAAGTCACGT